CATCCTGAGTTACATCTGAGAAAAAGGTATGGTGCGTTGTGCAGGAATAAAGGTAAAGGCATTTTGTAATCATAGGGTTAAATATGTGGAGAAATCTGGTTCACACAAATGGTAGGAGCACCTTTGTAGTCTAAAGTGGATTCTGTAATATGGATAGCCTGTGTCTGTGTTGCTGCCCATAAAAGGCCTTGAAGCCCTAATCTACATTTCCCATGGGCATGTGCTGGAGCCTGGCCTTTGAACACACTTGCAAAGGCAAGAAGATCCTCAGGGGGAAAAAAAATCACTTCTGTGAAGGTCCAGGGAGGCAGTACAACAGGGTGGGCAGAAAGTGCCTTTGGCAGCAGAACCTAGAAATGGGTTCTAGGACCTTGTCTAAAACATAGAGATCTCAGCGTAAGTTCCTCTCAGCCTCAACTTCTTTGCCTATAAAGATTTGTCATGTCCCTCTAACTCCTTACAGTGTAAAATGAGGTGTTACTGAAGAAGTGGGAAAGGTGGAAGAAGCTAAGTGCCATTACCCCTGAAATAATTCAGGGGCGGTTTGAGTTTTTCTGTTTTGCCTTTGGTCATACCTCCTGCACACTGTCTGCTTCCTACTCTAGCTTTCCTGGGTCCAGCCTGGCCTCTCAGAAGTCGGCTGCCCTTCACAGGTTCTCTCCTTTTTCTCACACGTTTGCCCCCTCATGCTTGTCTTTCATCAGGATCAAAAGCTGTTGGCCACGTTGTCTTCCCCAACTCTAGGCTCATCTGGCTGCTTTCATACTAATCTCTTTCCCACCTGATTCCTGGTAACCCCATGTCACTCGCTGAGGAAGCAACAAGGAAAACTTGAAACAAAACAAAGTCAACTTCAAAAAGGCTCATCATCCAAGAGGTTTGGGACCGATGGGAAATTGCAGATGGAACCCCCTTTTGGGTGCGGTGGGTGTGGTGGTTTTGCCTCACTAAGAAAGCACTGCTCAATTTATCTCCTAAATGATTCCAAATAATCCCAAAGTGCAGACAGTACAGAAGTAACTTGTTATGGAATATGCTAGGAAAGGAACCCTGGAGTCAAGCCAGAGAGCCACAGAATGTCCTGAAAGGACTCTTAAAAAAAGAGTCAAGTGATTTCTAAAACAGGCAAATCAAAATAAACAAAGACAGCAAATCAAAATAATAAACAGGCAAATCACAAGAACATAATTACCTAGACAGTTTTTTTCTTTTTTTTTAAGATTTTTTTTTTTTTTTTTAATTTTCTTATTTGAGAGAGCAAGAGAGCACAAGCAGGGGGAGCGGCAGAGGGAGAAGGAGAAGCAGTCTGTCCGCTGAGCAGGGTGCCGGATGCAGGGCTCCATCCCAGGACCCTGAGATCATGACCTGAGCCAAAGGCAGATGCTTAACCGACTGAACCACCCAGGCACCCGGACAGTTTTTTTCTTAAACCAATACACACGGGATAAATGAAAAAAAACAGCATAAAATATAAGTCTTCCTATTTCAGGACCCACTCCCATTTCCCAAAAATAACCCCCATCAACACTTACTTGTATATACTTCCAAAATTGTTACATACAAATACATCTATAGCCAAAAAACAAAAACCACAAAACAACCAGGGACCACTCTTTTACACCCTATTCTGTATCTTGCTTTTTCAAATGTAACCAAATATCTCGGAGTATTATAGCCTGGTTGCAAGCAACAGAAACTGATCTGCTTGGTTAACCAGCATAATGGAGTTTTATAGAAAAGGATTGAAGGGAAGATGGAAGAACCACTAGATTTGAGAAAGACAGGAACAAGGAAACTTCGTAGGTCTTTGTAGGTAGAAATTCTTTTTTTTTTTTTTTAAGATTTTTTTATTTATTTATTTGAGAGAAAGAATGAGAGAGAGAGAACACATGAGAGGGGGGAGGGTCAGAGGGGGAAGCAGACTCCCTGCCGAGCAGGGAGCCCGATGCGGGACTCGATCCCGGGACTCCAGGATCATGACCTGAGCCGAAGGCAGTCGCTTAACCAACTGAGCCACCCAGGCGCCCCGTAGGTAGAAATTCTTAAAAGTCTTGCCCCAAACCTCCAATGATTCTTCCATCGTCACCCTGCTCAAGATTCAAAACCCAGAGGGGAGAAGCTTTTTGTTTTTTTAAGATTATTTATTTGAGAGAGAGAGGGAGGGAGAAACAGCTTGAACAGGGGGAAGAGCACAGGGAGAGGGAGAGAATCTCCAGCTGGCTCCCCAGTGAGTGTGGAGCCCGACGTGGGGCTCAATCCCACAACCCTGAGATCATGACCTGAGCCAAAACCAAGAGTCAGACAAGTCAGACGTTAAACTGACTGAGCCACCCAGGTGCCCCCCCTACCCAGAGGAGAGAAGTTTATAGCATCTCATGCCCCCTCCCAATGGAGAGATGGAAGGAGTTGAAAAGATCTTCCAGAGACCCCTTCAACTTATGTATTGGGAGGACATTTATATTTGATACCCTACTCCACTCCAATAATGTACATGATGAAGGAGAGACCAGTCCACAAGAGAAATAGGATACTGTTAGGAAATGGAAATGGAGATCAGCAGGCCAAAAAATAAAAAATACCATTAAGATTTCAGGACATGAAAACCTACCTCAGTGCATATAATTGCATTGTCTTCCATAATTTATTTAATCATTCCCTCGTGATGGACAACTAAAGCAGTCAAGAAAAAAGAAGCCTATGACAACAGGCTAAAAGAATAAGGTTCTCGGGGCACCTGGGTGGTTCAGGCGGTTAAGTGTCCAACTCTTGGTTTCGGCTCAGGTCATGATCTCAGAGTGGTGAGATCAAGCCTGTGTGGGGCTCTGCGCTCAGCGGGGAGTCTGCTTAAGATTCTCTGCCTCTCCCTCTCCCCCTCCCCACCCCTCTAAAATAAATAAAATCTTAAAAAAAAAAAAAGAAAGAGGGGCACCTGGGTGGCTCAGTCGGTTGAGCATTTGACTCTTGATTTCAGCCCAGGTCATGATTGCAGGGTTGTGGGATGGAGCCCATGTGGGGCTCCGCCCTCAGTGCAGCATCAGCTTGTCCTTCTCCCTCTGCTCCGTCCCCTGCTCTTGCACACGCATTTTTTCTCTAAAATAAATAAATAAAATCTTTAAAAAAAAGACTGAAGCTGTAAACAACCATTCCTCATTCTCACTCACTATCCTCACTTTGAAATAAAAAGTCTTGTATCTTGCCTAGCCGCTGGAGCATATGGTCAATGCTCAGTAAACAACATGTATTCAGTTAGTGAATCATTTGGGGTTGAAGAGGTCTCCATGTCTTTTCCTCTGGATGTTTGTAGAATGATGACTTGGGCACTGAGAATAAGTACTCTCCTAGCACCATCTGCTGGCATTGGAAAACCTTTCCTGAATCATGGCCTCCAAGTCTCTTTCGGCCAGTATTAATAGCCCTGAAATGCCTCCTCTTCTTAATCCCTTCAGTACTGCAGAACTTACCTTTTATCTGTACGTAGATACAGTTACAAAATAGTGACTTATTTTTGTTCCTTGTTTACTAATAAATGTTTTACACTTTGGTGATCCTTGTTTTTGCCTTTTTACAAAGTCAGACACATGTGAGACACTGAGTGAGTGAGAAGGAGGCTCACACCAGTCTTTGACTCCAAACTGTTGTCCTTTGACATTTATTCATCAGGTAATGAACTCTGTGTATGGCACTATCTTTCTGGTTGGACTAGTTACACAGCACACACGGATATGATGCTTTGAGCTTATCTAAAAAAGCCCCTGTAGGTGCCCACTATTGTGACAGGAGCTATAGAAGACAAAGAAGTATGAGATTAAGTTCCCTGCCTTCGGAGCACCCAATCTAATCAGGGAAGCAGTAAGTCAAACAGTACAGGATAAAGTCTATGGTGATGCCTGTAAGCGCCCAGTGCCGAGTAATGACACTGGAATACATACTGTGCTATGTATATATGCACTAGAAATCCAAAGCCTGGAGACATTTTTGTCACATCTGGGGTGGGGGTGCTACTGGCATGTAGTTGGTAGAAGCCTAGGATGATGCTAAACATACCACGATGCACAGGACAGCCCCCCATAATAAAGAATTATCTGGCCCCAAAAAGCCAATAGTACTGCGATTGAGAAACCTGTGCTAGACCTTTAGCAACCGCCATGAGGGAGGCAGGCATGGTCCCTGCCCTCCTAGTATCATGAAAAAATGTTGAAAATATAATACCGTGTTGAAGGAATTCAAAGAAAGGAAAGAGACTAGAGTCTTGTTAAAGTACAATCCATAGACCTGAAGCATGGCATCACTTTGAAGCATGCTAAAAAAGGGGAATATCAACCCCCCCCACCTCTCACTGAATGAAAATCTGCCTTTTTAACAAGCCCCGCAGGTGACTCCTATGCGTATTAGTGCTGGAGACAGCGCTGCACTGGAGGTTTCCAGAAGACAGGACGTGGGTTATTTTTCATTGTTTTATGAAGCAGGAAAGAAGGAAGCAAATTCCAGGTGGTGAGAGCTATATGAGGGAAGATTCTGAGATGGCGAGGAGCAATTTCTATTTTTCGATCCAGCACTAATAACTAACATAGTGTTGCCTGCTTACAGTCAGACATTGTGCTTTATACGAAATATTTCACATAAAACTCGTAACACTATTGGGCAGGTCCATTTTAGGGGTAAAGCAAACCAAGGTACAGAGGGGTTAAATAACTTGCTCCGGGACCCACTGACCGCGCCGGGCTGATGGAATCGAAGCTGCATTCTCTCCCACCCGAAGTCCTCCACAAACACCTCCACCCACACGTGAGAGCCAAGGTCGAGGCCCCGAGGCCCCAGCTCTCCCCACCAGCGAAAAGCCAATAACGCCAGCCAGTCTTCCTTCCCGGACTAGCGCCGCGTAAGGAAAGCCGGAGGAGTGGCGCGCCCTCCACACCGGAAGTCGTAGGTGCAACGTGGGAAGCGTTTTTATAAGCCCCGCCACCGGCGTTAAACGAACATAGCGCAAAGGAAGAGGGCGGGATTTTGAGAAGGACACAGACCCTAAAGTGCTTGGAAGCAGTGCAAAGAACGTTTTGTGCAGCATTTGGCAGGAATCTGTGTTAGCGAGAACGCAGCCGTTCACCGCAGCTCGCTGGGCGCTGGCTGTTGGGGAGGTACACCGGGAGCTAGACGACACATCTCTATGGTCAAGTAAACATAGAGTGGGCCTCTCTTCCCCCACGTGGTGGGCCTGCGCATGAGCAGTAGCCGCAGCTTCGGAAACATGGCGGAGGAAGAGTAAGTGATTGGGCTTTGACTCTCTCGAGTGGGGTCTTGAGCATCTGGTGCCATCCACAATGTATATTCCTCAGCGGCGGGAAATAGGCTACTTGTGGACTGAAGGAAGAGAATAGAAAAAACTCCAGGTTACAGAGGGTGGGATGAGGAGGAAGGAGCCAGTCGTAGGGTTCGGCCTGACGGTCAGACGGAGGGCGCCGCCGTCAAGTTCGGGTTCCCCCGAGCGGCGAGGATTGAGTTTCTGGCGGCGGGCTGAAGAGTGCCAGACTTGGGTTCACTCAGCCTGACTTAAGTAGTGCTACTGCCGATGGGACTGCGCCCGTCCCAACCCCACGGAGTTTTACTAGACTCACGTAGCTGCTAGTGTCTTTAAAAGGCTGTGGCAGTAAACCCTCCATGGAGGCATACGAGGGCCAGTGGCCAAGAGGTTCATGACTTTTTACTGCTTTAGGAAAGAGTGAATATTAAGGGGTCCATTTTGAGGACTGGAGTCAGAAACCACAGGTTTCAGGGAAGTCTGTCTTTAGGAATTTGAAGAGAGTGATGTTTCTCAGGCCCAGAGATGGTTTAGAAATTCATTGAGATTTGTTTTTTAAACATTATAGCTGATTGCAGTTCTCTTTATCAGGCAAAGAAAAAAGATCCCATTGGTTCCAGAAAATCTCCTGAAAAAGAGGAAGGTTTATCAGGCCCTTAAAGCCACTCAAGCAAAGCAGGCACTTTTGGACAAGAGGGAGGTAATGATGGGGAACCAAGAGAAGGGAATTAGAATGTGTATTTGGTGAGTTATATCTAACACATGTTGAACTAGACTTGGTATTGACAGTCCTTTCCCCATAGATTCTAACAGGTAAATACGGTTCATGTCTTCCTTTAACAGGTGTTTATAAAACACTTTCTGCAGGTAAAATACTGGAGTGGAGTTTGTTAAGGAAGAAGTGGAGTAGAGATTGTACTATTTATTTAGGTTCATAGCAAGTGATTTGATAGACCAAACATGCTTGTGTACCTGGAAGAATATATATATATATATTTTTAATATGCCAGACAATTTTTGCTATTTGCTAAACGTTTTTGGAAAATACATATTTTGGAGTCAGGAAAATGAAACAAAGCTCGTGCTTATTCTGTACTTTGTGATGCTTAACCCAATGTTAAGTTCCATAAACGTGTTGGTAAATGTTGACTAACAGCATGTAAACTAACTTGTTTATTCATCAGAGGCTTTTCCTAGTAGTTTCTGAGTTATCACAACTCCACCTTTACTTGGGTGTCTCATTTTTCCCTTATATAGAAGTTGTGCTTCCGTTTCCGGAACACAGTGGGAAATACATTCAGTCGATAGTGACTAATGAATTACTATTGTAGAAATAAAAAATAGAGGCACAAAATGGTGACGATGGTCTGCCTTCTGTGTAGCAGAAGAAAGGAAAACAGCTCAAGTTTAAGCGACTGGAATGGTTTCTACATGACTCCTGGAGGCAGCAACGTGACAGGGTGCGCCTCAGACGACTAGAAGTGAAACCTCGTGGCCTGGAAGTGCCAGATAAACATTCCTTGGCCTTTGTTGTCCGCATCCAAAGGTGGGGAGCTTGCCAGATTCCATAGGCTGGAGCAGACTATTGATTCCGCTTTAGACCCTTTCTAGGGAGATGAACTACAATAGGCTTTAAGCCCCTAAGGCAAGTTGTGCTGGGAATTCAGGGTTGAGCACAACATAGTTTTCTTTTTTCTTTTTCTTTTTTTTTTTTTAAGATTTTATTTTTTTATTTGACAGAGAGAGACACAATGAGAGAGGGAACACAAGCAGGGGGAGTGGAAGAAGGAGAAGCAGGCTTCCCGCAGAGCAGGGAGCCCAGTATGGGGCTCGATCCCAGGACCCTGGGATCATGACCTGAGCCGAAGGCAGACGCTTAACGACTGAGCCACCCAGGCGCCCCCACAACATAGTTTTCATCTTTAAGGTTAAGGGGACTGACCTTAGGCAGACAGACATGAAAATATACCCAGTGCTATGAGGGTCGTCTACTGCCGGGGCCATACTGCTTCAGGACACTCTCTAAAAAGGAACTGGAAGCTGAGACCTGTACACATGGAAGGAATTCACGAGTGTTGGGGGAAGGCTTTCCAGGCAGAGATGCAGAAAGTCCTGAATTGGGAGAACCAAGGAGTCTTTTTTGTTTCCTTTTTTTAAGATTTTATTTACTTACTTCTTTGACAGCATGAGCAGGGGAGAGGGGCAGAGGGAGAAAGAGGCTCCCCACTGAGCAGACAGCCCTACACGGGGCTCAGTCTCAGGACTCTGGGATCATGACCTGAGTCCAAGGCAGATGCTTAACCAGCTGAGGCACCCGGGTGCCCTTCAAGGAGTCGGTCTAGGAACTGAACCAAGGTCAGGTAGATGGAGCATACTCAGTGCTGGAGAGAGTTCATAAAGTTTTTTCCTCATTAGTTGTACTTTACCCGGTCTATCTGCATATACAGCCGCCTCTCCCTATTTCCTGTAGCCAGTCACCCAAACCAGAAACCTGTGGGCTTTAAATATTTTTGAGCCCTCGGGGCACCTGGGTGGCTCAGTTGTTAAGCGACTGCCTTCGGCTCAGGTCATGATCCTGGAGTCCCTGGATCGAGTCCCACATCGGGCTCCCTGCTCAGCGAGGAGCCTGCTTCTCCCTCTAACCCTCCCACCTCTTATGTAATCTCAATCTCTCTCTCTCTCTCATTCTCGCTCTCTCAAATAAATAAATAAATCTTTTAAAAAAAAAATATTTTTGAGCCCTCATCATTAACCTTCCTACCACTTCTCGTAATTTCTTTCCTGGACTAGCGCATTAGCTTCCTAACTGGGTTTCCGTGCCTTTGGTGGCACACTTTAAGATCTGTCCTATATGCTCTTCTCAGTGATTGTCAGAAAGCCGATTGTGTCTCCTTTACCTAAAATCTTTCGGGCTTTTACTGCCCAGAAGCAAGTCCAGCTTCTTTTGCTGGACTTGCACAGCCCCACACAAACACTACCCCCCCACCCCCACACACAGAATCAGGGCCCATCTCTGTGTTCCTGTAGCCCTCAGGCATTGCTCCACATCGTGTGAGAGTGATCTGTTTATATATAGCTGCCACTTCCTGACCTGACATAGTCTGTGTCTTGCTCTCTGGATGCCCTGTAGTGGCAAACATTTCATAGGTGCTTGCTGGACTGACATAAAGTGAGTAAAACCTGACTTCCTCTGCTGTTCATTTCAGGATTAATGGGGTGAGTTCACTGGTGCAGAGGACCATTGCACGGCTTCGCCTGAAGAAGATTTTCAGTGGTGTCTTTTTCAGAGTGACCCCCCAGACCATAAAAACGCTGCGTGTAGTGGAACCTTATGTGACCTGGGGGTGAGTAAGGTTTGTGTGTGTGTGGATTCAGATTCGATTGTATTTGAGCATGGTGAGAACATTAGGATGCGCAGGGTGCTATTCTCCAAGGTAATGAGCTTGCGTTGCTGTGTTGAAGAAACATTTTGTTGTGACCACAGTCACCAGAAATCAGCTGCCAGCCATAGGACCTTGGAGCACGGGGCAGGTAGAGCAGGAGGTATCCATCCTGCTGCTCACGTACCATGGACAGTACCCCGAAGGGCTCGTTCACTTGCAGGCTGAGGCTGAGTAAGGGGTAGAAGAGAAATTAATTCTCAGAGTCTTGAAGCAGAGCTAGGGGCTGTGGTTGTGTTCCTTCAAACGTGAAACCAGCAGAGGCTGGGATTTTAATTTCAGCCTCTGGCACCATCTTGGGTAGAGGGTCATATAAGGCCAGAGTCCTGAACTGTAAACCAGCCCTTGTTTTATTTTTGCCTGGGAAAGTAAAATTCTTTTTTGCATGGTGAATGTTTATAGCCATACATTTTAATTTCTAATTACATAGGGCCACTCTGGTTTTCTACCCCCTTCTTCACTTGTGTACTTCCAAGCATCCCGGCTGCAGTGTGATTGGCAGGAGATTTCTTGGTGGGAAGAAGGGGTAGTGGGAGAATCTCTCCTCAGGCAGGCTGCAGGACTGAGTGGCCAGTGTCATGCAGTGTGCCAGGGGCTGATAAGGCTGTACCTCATTCGGTCTCACATAGATTTCCAAATCTGAAGTCTGTCCGGGAACTCATCTTGAAACGTGGACAAGCCAAGGTCAAGAATAAAACCATCCCTTTGACGGACAACACAGTGATTGAGGAGCACCTGGGTGAGTGTTGCCCCTTAGGGGTCAGTTGGGGCAGAAAGCAAGGATCTATGGTGGTCTTGATATGGGATCTAGGTCGTATTCTTCTTCTTGGGGTCCCAAGAACCTACCAGAGTGCCCAGCTCTGGCATGTAAGAGCCTCATAGTTTATACTGGGCCAAATGTTGAATGAAGGAATCTATACTCTTACGTTTCCCAGGGAGGTATGGTGTTATTTGCTTGGAAGACCTCATTCATGAAATCGCCTTTCCGGGGAAGAATTTCCAGGAGATCTCTGCGTTCTTACGTCCTTTCCATCTGTCAGTGGCCCGTCATGCTACCAAGAATAGAGTGGGTTTCCTCAAGGAGGTGGGCTTACCTGGCTATCGAGGTGAACGCATCAATCAGCTCATTCGGCAGCTGAATTAAACCCAGGTGAGGCTGGAAACTGCCCTTGGGCTGACTTTTGGTGGGCCATGCCTTGCCATTCTTTTTGCATTTATCAGTATCTGAGCGTAACTCTGGCATTGGGGGGAGAGGAGAGACGGGTAGCTACAGGTCTAACAGAAATGTGCTTAGGACAGTGAATGCCTGGTTAGGACATGGGGCTATGTGTATTCCAACAATTAAAGGCTAGAAAATGTTGAGTGGCAAAAAAATCTTTAGTGCTGTGGTCATTTACCTTGAAATGGGGAGAAAATGTTAAAAACCAATTTCAAAAAGGACGTGAAGATCTAAACCATCTATTTTGTTGAAAGTATCTTAACTTTTTGAAATTGCTTACTATTACTCTGAAGTGCCACCTTTCATTAAACTTGTTTGGTTTTTTTTTTTTTAAGATTTTATTTATTTATTTGACAGAGAGAGACACAGCGAGAGAGGGAACACAAGCAGGGGGAGTGGGAGAGGGAGAAGCAGGCTTCCTGCCAGGCAGGGAGCCCGATGCGGGGCTCGATCCCAGGACCCTGGGATCATGACCTGAGCCGAAGGCAGACGCTTAACGACTGAGCCACCCAGGCGCCCCTCATTAAACTTCTATTAATGAAGTTTTTCTTCTTCAGAATATCTGAAAGCACAGCGCATTGGTGGCATGTGTTTTGTCTTTTGGAATGGTTACCGGTATCTTCAAAGATTATTTTCTGTTGTATCTTCAGAAACTAGAGAGAGGGTCAAGGAAAAGAGGATGATGCTCCTGGCAAGCACTTGTCATCACAGCCCAGTTCCAACGGAAAGTTCCAGTGTGTTTTCCACATTGGCTGCCCCTACCACCTCTGAAGTCAGCGGGGGACTCCTGCCACAGAAGAGGGAGTCCTGCTGTGCCGCATCGTCTGTCTTGGGATTTAAAGTTGATGAACGAATACCCAAGCATGAATACAAGACGGCAGTGGACCAAGCTCAGGGACCTACTTGAACCTGGGGGTTCCTGGGGCCTTGTTTTGGAAGGAACTTAAAATATAATTACAAAGAAGAGTACAAAAACAGTGCTCAGTTGTCTCTGCTGTGAGTCCATGTTCTCACTCTTCAGTGACAGCTTTGCAAGTTCTCAGACTTGGCTGGCACTGATGTGTATCTGGTGGCTTCCTTAGCGTAGCCTGCGATTGGCTTTGTCCTTTTCTTTAGCTCGAGATCTTAACTTATTCTTGGGTCTGTGAGAAGGGAAGGACCCTTTTCCCAAGAAAATACACTCAAATTTTTGCTTGGAAGTTTCTGTGTTCATAGGCTTTTCTTAGGGACCCATGCACCTTATGTGAGGAAGTCCTGCACTACCTGCATTGGTCACCTGGGCCCTGACCTTGTTAGTCTCCTCTGGTCCCTTATCCTTTGGAAGATCAAAGTTTACCAAGATAGCTTTTTCCCTTGGAGCCAATTGGGTGTTTCCTGTTAGGAACAGAGTGGTAGATTCCTGAGCCCCCTGTACCATCTGGGAAATGCCCACCATTTATTTCTGCTGGGCTTTGTGCTCGCTTCGGCAGCACATATATTTCTGCTGGGCTTCAGGATGGGATTTTCTTGGTTTGGCCTGGATGAAATTAGTACTATTAGGTCTTTTTAGGCTCCATGAAGGCTTGATTGGACCCTGTCCTCGCATAGTCTGTTCTCCGAAAGTATTGCTGTCTACCCCACTGGAAACGTTCGTAGACCAACACTGGGGCTTCCAGGGACCTGAGACCTAAAAAGGGATCTGATCCTGCTTGTGTTTATCATCTGTGTCCCCCTCCTAGGTGGGCCTTCCTCTGCTCCTGTCACTATGTTGCCTCAGTTGCCATCTGAGTAGTTGGTGAGGATGTACCAGGTACAGGTTAAGACTTGAAAACATGCTTAACCGTTGTGTGCCCTGGTCCCTGAAGATCAGCTTTGCAGCACTTCTGGCTCATGGGGCCCTCAAACATAGCTGTGAGGTTGAGTTAGAAGTAGAACAATGCCTTAAAATGTGCCAGGTTGTGAGGTAATTAATTAGGTTGGTTGGCTTAAGAGTTAACCTGCCAGGAGTAGATGTTAGAGCTTACACTTAAACTTTAAAGCATTGTGAAATCAAATTACTTGAAAATGACGTATCAGAAAGCCATGGGAAAAGAGCATTTGTGAATGCCTAACTAAGCCCAGGGTTTCTATTGTAGATCTGTTTTACACTAAATACAGGAATAATGTTTCCATTCTTGCCTGCAGAATGGGGCTTTCTAGGCTAACCTGTGTGCCTCACTGAACAAGTTGTTCAAAGGATTAAGCAAAAGAACAATTTTTAACTTAGAATTTAATGGAAATAAGTAAGTTATAAAAATGAATGTTCTGCTGTATCGTGTACTGTGATGTACCATTCCCTAAACAAGTTGTGGACTTACCGTTTCTGGGAAAAATTAGTCCTTATCGTATGATCTGTAGATGTGTATTTATGTGAATTGTTCATGGCCATCAATGTATATTTCTGTCAACACATACCATATGTATGTGGCAAACAGAAACCTCAATTTCAGGAAGCAAGAGCAGGGGCAGTGAGCCACGTGGCCTATTTAAAGAGACAAACTTAAGGGGCGCCTGGGTGGCTCAGTTGGTTAAGTGACCACCTTCGGCCCAGGTCATGATCCCAGGGTCCTGGGATCAAGCCCCACAACAGGCTCCCTGCTTGGCCGGAAACCTGCTTCTCCCTCTCCCACTCCCCCTGCTTGTGTTCCCCCTCACGCTGTCTCTCTCTCTCTGTCAATTAAGTAAATAAATAAAATCTTTAAAAAAATAAAGAGACAAACTTAAGTGGTTGTAGGAGCTTTTCCTCTGTTCCAAAACTTAAAGCCTGACCCAACCAGTTCCCAGGGATTTTGTTGTTGGCTTCTTTAATGCTTTGGGATTTTACTGGCTTAATGTGACTCTGAAGTCATTCTGAGGCCCAGTGTAATCATCAAACCTTGTATTATTAGCGGCTGATCTGGAGAATGGCTAAAATCAACACCACTTGGGTCCCAAATTATTTCCACAACCACCAGAATAAGCTGAACCGGGGAGATAAAACACTGACGTTCTCATACATTACTAACACAATTGTTCCCAGTGGGTTGGACCCCGTTAGTGTGTCTTCAGCAGTATTTTGAAAACGAAAACACATCTATGAATCTCAGTAAAGGATGAGATTTATCAAATCTCTATAAGGACTGAAACATTTTTTTAATGAGGACTGTGGGTCCAGAAATACGGATACAAGACAACCCTGACGACGCTCCCAGGAGGCTTAAGTCCAGCTGAGACCCGTCGGGGCAAATGCACAAAAGATGAATGACGGTGGCCAGTATCCGGGGTCCGAGTTGATGCAGGACACAGTCACGCCTTCCAGGTCTAAGAGGCAAAGGACCTCGAGCCTCAGGAACCCAATCCGTGCCATCAGGAAGGCGCAGTTCCTTCCTTCGCCGCGCAGGGCCCCTCCACGCGGTTCTTCTACCGGTACCCGAGGGTCGGCGGCATCTGGGGCCCCGGGTCTAGGGCGGCGGCGCGGGGGCCTCTGCCGATCCCGCGGCCTCCCAGGGCTTGGGCCTCGGCGGGAGCCGGGACGCCGTGGGTTCGCCGTGGGTCGCCGCGATGTGGCGCCTCTCCACGCCCGGGAGCTCCCGGCCCTGCTGGACCAGCTGCAGGACCTGCGCCAAGCTCACCGAGGCGGGGGCTGCGTGCGTGGGCGTGGGGCCCGGGCCCGAGCAGCTCCGACCGCCGGGCCGCTCCATCCCGGGACGCTCAGCCTGACCCGCGTGCGGAGTAAACGCTTCCGGGTGGGGTGGGTGCAACCACCGGAGGGAATGAAGGGGGGTTCGTAGAGCATACCAAGCCGGCCCAGAAAGGGGGGAGCACTTGAGAACCACGACCAGCTTCACGCAGAAAAGCTTCACAAACACTGCAAACAGCCCGCACCAGAATCTGTAACGTGCAATGCTTTAGAAGGAACTGGAAGGCTTGCGCAGAACAGGCCGTGCATGCGGACACGCTAATGCAGGCAAAAAGATCCAATTTGGCACACATGCATAGGCACCAAGTACAAAACTCTTTTCTTCTTTTTAAGATTATTTATAAGAGAGAGTGAGCGAAAAAGAGAAAGAGCACGAGCAGGGGGAGGGGCAAAGGGAGAGGGACAAGCAGACTCCCCGCTGAGCAGGGAGCCCCAAGGGGGCCTCCATCCAGGGACTCTGGGTCATGACCTGAGCCAAAGGCCAAGGCACATGCTTAACCCACTGAGCCACCCAGGCGCCCCTTCTTTTCTTTCTAAAGTAATCTCCTGGGGGGCACCTGGGTGGCTCAGTGGGTTAAGCGACTGCCTTTGGCTCAGTTCATGATCCCGGGGTCCTGGGTCGGGCTCTCTGCTCAGCGGGGGGAGTCTGCTTCTCCCTCTGCCTCTGGCGCTCTCCCTGTTGTGTTCTCTCTCTCTAATAAATAGAATCTTTTTTTTAAAAAAAAGATTTTACTTATTTATTTGACAGAGAGAAAGGGAGACACAGCGAGAGAGTGAACCCAAGCAGAGAGAGTGGAGAGGGAGAAGCAGGCTTCCCGCGGAGCGGGGAGCCCTATGCGGGGCTCGATCCCAGGACCCTGGGACCATGACCTGAGCCGAAGGCAGACGCTTAACGACTGAGCCACCCAGGCGCCCCAAATAGAATCTTTTTTAAAAATAGGGGCGCCTGGGTGGCAGTGGCACAGTCGTTAAGCGTCTGCCTTCGGCTCACGTTGTGATCCTAGGGTCCGGGGATCGAGCCCCATGTCGGGCTCCCTGCTCCGCGGGAAGCCTGCTTCTCCCTCTCCTGCTCCCCCTGCTTGTGTTCCCTCTCTCGCCGTGTCTCTCTCTGTCAAATAAATAAATAAAATCTTAAAAAAAAATTTTTTTTTTAAAATAAAGTCATCTGGGGAGGGGGGATTGGATAGCCTGGTGATGGGTATTAAGGAGGGCACGTTCTGCATGGAGCACTGGGTGTTATACGCAAACAATGGATCATGGATCACTACATCAAAAACTAATGATGTATGGTATGGTGAGTAACATAACATAATAAAACTTAAAAAATAAATAAATAAATAAAGTCATCTCTTGGCTCGAACTCACAACCCCCGAGATCAAAAGTCACAAGCTCCACTGACTGAGGCAGCCAGGCGCCCCGGGTACATACGTATTTTCACACCGGGCAGAAGTGCCCACCTACAGGGACACATGCAGCTGTGGAGAGATCGCCCGCAGCCTCAGGAGAACAGGGAATAAGCGGCAGCACCGCAGAGCCTCGCCACTCCCTCCCCATTTCCTGCCAAGGAGACTCTATTCCTGGTGTTCACCGAGGGGATGAGAAAAGAGGAAGGCAGGCCAGGGGTGCCACAGTCCTTCTGGCTGCTCTCAAAGTCAGTGCCCGTAATTGTCAGGTTTCTAAGTTTATGGAAAGTTCGCCTCACCTGGCAAACACTGCCTTCACCATGTAATCGAAGTCTAATTACTGTTAACAGAACGAGCTGGCCCCCTGTGTCTCTGGAGGTGCGGCCCCGAGAAGGGCTCTGCGGAGGGAGGAACACTACAGCCTTCAGTATTCCTGCCCAGAAGGCGCACTCTGAATCTAGTCCTGTGGAAATGAACAGACCAAGCAAAGTGAGAGACATTCTGCAAATGACTGGCCTGGACGCTTTATAAATGCCAGTGTCATAAATGTCTTGGGATGCCCACAAAGACAGTTATGGTAATTCTGATCAGATGGGTGACTATACGGACTCTCTTCTGTGGCCCCTTCAGGTCCTTTCTCCACCCTTATCCACCCAGCTTCCTACACCCTGGCATCCACAGACGTCGCAATGGGCTCCCTTAACCTCTGGCTTTGGGGTCTGGCTAGTGGGGGCCCCAGTAGAAGAAAGAAGGAGAAGGAGGTCAGTGTATTTATTCCTCAGTTTCCCTCCCTCCATGATTCCCACTGGCTGCAGTATCCCTCCAGAAGCTCTCTGGCTTTGGGGCCCTGCCATTGCTCCCTCCCCTCA